GAATCTGCCCTCACCTGCCCCTTGGCTGGACACAACCTGGACATAATTTGTAGCCCTGATCATGGAGTTAGCCTGGCTCCTGGAAGTTTGTCAGGGGGAGTGGAGGTGCCTATCTGAGGAACCGCAGAGCTCATAGTTCTTCCTCAGCTGATTCATTTAATGAAGACCAAATCATTACAGAAGTTCCAAAGGCCAACGATACTTTTATCATAATAGACTTAAAATTCATAAGCATAATGTTCAGCAGCCATGCTTGAATTTTTTCAGATGTTATTATGTTCCAAAACCGGTTTAGCGTTTAAAGCCTTCAGTGTTTCGATGCTCACACTTTATTGTAATTATTTAACTGTCTTTCTCACCTAGAATGTCAGCTCTGGGAAGGTAGTGACAGTGGACGCCTTGCCACTATCCCCCCAGCACGATGTCTAATACATAGCAAACACTAATACATATGTTTTGGCTGAATGAAGGAATTTCTTTACGTATTTTTCTTCTGGACCTTGAAACAAGAGGAACAAACATACAAAGAGCGATGAGCAATTAACAACCACTTTTATTACTTAATTTTTATAACGAAAGATTTTTGTTTTCAATTCTCTCCTTCCCTTCGTATTTCCTAGGGCCATTTTGTTTTGTTTTGTTTCACAGGGGCATCAAGGCGTGTATTCCCTGGCATACTTGCCCAGTCCACAAGTCAACGCCTGCTTTCTTTGGAAGATGTCACCCTTTGCCGTGGAGTCTATACGATGCCCTTCCCTACAATGTGGGACTGAGATGAATTGTAGACAGTCTCCTTGAGTGAGTAAAATTGCAACATGCAAAGCCTGAGCTGACACTTCGCTATGTGCTCAGAGAACTGTGGTCCAGACAGGGAGAGGGAGAGAAGGGGAGTGAGAGAGAGAGGGGAAGAGAGAGAAGCAGATGTGCAAAGAAAAGCAGACGCAAGAGTAAGAGAGAGGCATAAAGGAAGTCTTGGCCATCCAGGATCTCAGTCAGTCAGTCCCATCCAGAGGCCTAGGAGAGTTGCTGTCTTTAGGTTTCCTTGAGATATTCCTATAGCCTTAATATAAATGGCTCCCTCTACGGCTTAAGCCAGGTTAAGGTGGGCCAATCCCTAACAAATGGATCCTATATTTTACATGGAAGCCAATGAGGCATCATTTTAAATGCACAGGTAACTCCCAGGAGATGCAGAGCAGTGCATGCAAAAAAAACCCAAAAAACCACCACAAAAAAACCCTGAGTATTTTCAACGGACCTTCCTTAGTTTTTCCAGATGAGGCCAGAGCATGTATCAGGGCCATGCATCCCAATGGCCGTAACCACACAGAGGCGACCTGGAGAAGAGACCCTCGGGTTAGTTTGGCAACTTGAGAAGAATAAATGGAATGGCAGAGTTTAGTGAACGGGTCCTTGCCAAAAGAGAACACTGCATATCCAACTACCGTAGGCATGGGAACTGAGCACAAAGCCTTGAGAGCATTGTTTCTCACAGTAAAGGTCCTGGGTAAGAACCTCATCTCAGACTCCGTAGGTCAAAATAGCTTGCTACTCAGGATGTAGTATGAAGCCGTGAGGCAGTGATAGAACTTGGGAAGCCGGAAGAAAGGAGGAGTCTTTCCCACTTCTTTGACCTGAATCAGAATCTGTATTCTAACAAGATGCCCGTTGATTTGATACTCATTAAAGGGGGAACTTTGTTCTATGTCATTAGTTCTCAGGTGGGTTGAACATGGGAATCACCCAAGTGACTTACCCATGTTACTCTGGTCTGAGCTCTACCCCCTCCCAGAGGTTCTGACTTTGGAGAGTTTGACTCTAGGCTTGGAGAGTGACCTGAGCAGACAGAGTTTTTAAAGGTCCCCCAAGTGATGGGGCGCCTGGGTGGCTCAGTCGGTTAAGCGTCCGACTCCGGCTCAGGTCATGATCTCACACTCCGCGAGTTCAAGCCCCACGTCGGGCTCTGTGCTGACAGCTCAGAGCCTGGAGCCTGCTTCAGATTCTGTGTCTCCCTCTCTCTCTGCCACTCCCCTGCTCATGTTCTGTCTCTCTGTGTCTCAAAAATAAATAAAAACATTAAAAAAAAAATAAAGTTCCCCCAAGTGATTCTGATGTGCAGCTAAGATTGAGAATCACTGCTTATTGAAGCCACCAGATATATCTTAGAAGAAAGTCAACTTGTTAAATGGATTTTGAGACTCCTGGAAGGCACCATAATCTGAAAGAAGATTAATTTTGATTTGGGAGAGCAGGACCCCAAAGAGAAAGAAAACTATACTTCTTTGTAAGTTCCAGGTAGAACTGGTTTGGAAAAAATCACAAGATAGACCATGGGGGACCAGGACACACAGTTTATAAAATGAGCTATAGGATTTGGAACGCATGCCACCCAATAGCCTCAGGGTGGGGGAACACTGCTATTTCCCAGGCAAAACCTAAGAAGATTGAAACTCCATTAGGCTGGAGTAATAAGGTGTCTTGGTGATAACTTAGCAATAGCTAAAGGAATAATCCAGGTGGATAAACAATCTCAGAAACCTGAAAACCTAACCTGTAAATGTCTGGGTCCTAACCATAGTATGGAAGCACATGCTAAGAACGGACCAGAAGAGGCCAGAATAGAATGAGGACTCATGACCCATGGAACTTTCGAGCAGTGGCCACTACAGAGGCCATGGGATTAACCACAGAAACTTAAGCACTGCGTGAAAGGCCAGGAGAGACTGAATTATCCTTCAGGCAGAAGCTAGTAAAAACAGGTGATGCACTTGGGCCGGATGTCCCTTTCCTAGTCCCTGGACAACAGGCACGCCCTTTGCCACTCCCTTCCTTGAAAGAGTGGCCTCAGAGACAGGAAAGGAGAAAGTCTTGAATCTAAATGAACATCTGCTCAACTGATTCCTGAATTATGCCTGTGGATTTCAAATCCATCGTAGTGGTGAAGAGAATGTAGTTATTACCCCTCCATTAGGGTTTTGCCTCTGCACAGGTCTCTGGGGACTTGGCGTCACTCTAAGGAGAATTCTTTGAATGTCATTCTTTTGTAAAGAGATGGGGATCAAGGAAAATGCTCTAGGATCATGAATCACAAGACATCCACATTTCCATTCGAGAGGCAGAACCGGGACCAGAACCCAAGTCTACTAAGAAGATGTACAGTCGCACACCGAATGCCTCGAGATGATCTCAAGGGATAAGAATCCAATTAGGGGCATGAATGGTCCTGCCTTAGTGAAGGACATTTACTTTACAGACAGATACACAGACTGCATTAACCTCATTAATTAGTATTAATTGAATCAGCCTCAGTAGGTACGGTTAACGAATGGCTTCAAATGACCTTTTTCCGATTGTTAAGAAGGGATAAAAGAAGACACAATTAACAGGGGACTAGTTGCCAACATCTACCTACTTTAGCTTCTCTCTTCCCTGTCTGCCTCCTCTTTCCCCGCTCCCTCAACCCTCCACCCACCCCCAGAAGAAATATTCCTTGAGGTAAAAATTGTCTCATGATCCTCTCCTTCCTGGCTTTTATTTAGGAGACTTGAAAGAAAGCTGAGGAACTTCCTAGGTGCGCAATACATCCCTTATTTCCTTTACCTGGCGGAAGGTACAGCCACCTGTCTGTCAAGTTCCCTGGTACTGAGGTAAGAATATGACAAGCATAATGAATAGCAACAGCTTTCCAAAAATAACTCTTCATCTAAGATTACAGCCTATGAGTTGAATTTCATGAATCATCCTGACATATTTTGGGAAGAAATCACATAAGGGACTAATTTTTGGATTATTTAAAATAGAATGGATTATGAATGACACCCTCCTGCCCCCCAAAAAACCCCACTAACGTCATTGATTAGACTAGTATAGTATAACCTAAGAAAATAAACTTAACTAGACGCTCTTGAAATTGCTGAGGTAGGATGTATTCGTATACGATATAAAACTAAATCTGCTTTGAGCCCATTAGAACGTCTTTGGTGGTGCCAGGAAAGATTTCTGGCAAATTTATGAGAAGATGATACAGTATCCTTTTTGCCTGATGCCAGAGGGGAAGAGAAAACGGAAGGATGGAATTAGTTATGTATGTTTAGGCAGTCAGTGTATTGGAATGTTGCCCCAAACCAGAAAAAAAAAAAAAAAAAACCCTCGACATATGGAAAGCACCCAATTGGCGTGAACGTGGTGGAATGAGAAAGGTTTTGATAAATAGTTGAAGCTGTTGGTTAACTAGTAGTAATTTCTAAGTATTTGTTGAAACCATTTTAAAATAACTAACATAAAAATGAAAATTGCATCATAAAACCAAGAAGTCTAATGTTCTCTGCTGAAAACCCTGGGATTCCCAAAACAATCCGTTAAGACAAACTGTGCCTTCCTCCGACACGCCCAAACCGTGAATTATCTCGCTGGGCGGTATAATTTCCACGAGCCCTCAGTCGGAGTGAAGTCACCAAGAACAGTTTACCATCTTTCTTATCAACAAGCTCCTTTTGCTCCACTTTGAAATACGCAATCTATTTTGAAAAACCCCCAAAGACGGCTAGAAAATACTTATGCTCCAAAAGCATGAGCTTGATGACAGAAATGTTGAGGCTCATGAGTTAATTAACAGCAACTATGAGCTCAAAAGGGAATTACAGGGTTAAAATAAATTGCTCTAGCTGGCCCTGAGGCAAGTCTTCATCAATGGACAACAGCTTACTGAGGGGTTTCAAACAAAAACTTTTGTCGCAAAGTTGACAAGTTTTGCGTCCAGTGCGGGTTTTCAAAAGCCACCTTGCCTTTCTCACATGGTTTCTTGGCGGGAAGGGGAGTGTTTGTTTTGTCCGCCTTCCCTGTTTTGTCACTTGGGAATCATGGACAAAAGCCCGGGGCCATCTGTGGGTAAGCTTGGCCTTCCCCTTCAGGAGGGGAACCACTTTCACATGATGCGCTGTCCCGAGAACAGGCTTCCTTCTGCGAAGTGGACTCTCATGGGAAAAGAAAGAAACCCTTACCTGGGTAATCATTCTTGTCTATGTCTGAATCTCCTCTGAGAGTAAAGCCGAATCCAGAAGGGATGGTCTGGGAGGCCCACAATCCTTGCAGAATCTGGGACGCCTTGGTGTGTAAGCCATCCTTGTTCCCATTGTAAATGAGCACTTTGCCTCTTTGGTCCTTGCCTGCAAAGGGTGCCCCGATGGCAATGTCTACAAACGGACACACATAAACATATTTTTTAAGTCAGGAAGAATGTTTGAGACGTAGAATGAAGTGCAATCGAAGAGCCGTATCATAAAATCCAAAGGGCTTATTAAGCTTTCCATGAAAATTTCATAATACTGCAGCAACCATAAGTTATTTGTTTGCCTTTTATCCAACCTGCAAATATTTATCGAGCGACTACTATGTGTTGACGCAGCAGTTGTGACAGCAAATCAGATGCTGCTTTCCGAACATTCATACTCTAGTGCAGGTAGTAGACAATTTGAATAAAGAAGCGATCAAGGAAATATGGACAAGTGACAAACTCTATGCAGAAGAACCAAAAATATTAATGTGATAGAGAATGGTTGTTATTTTTACATATCTTTTTAAAAATATTTATTTTGAGAGAGAGAGAGCATGAGGGAGCGTGAGAGGGGGAGAGAAAGAGGGAGAGAGAGAATCCCAAGCAGACTCCGTGCTGTCAGCTCAGAGCCCAACGCAGGGCTTGATCTCACGAACTGTGAGATCATGGCCTGAGCTGAAATCAAGAGTAGGTTGCTTAACCAACTGAGCCGTCCAGGCACTCTGTCAGGTTATTATTTTTAGATTAGGGGATCAGGCAAGGTGTCATTAAGGCTCACGCTGAAATGGAAATCTAAGGACAAGATGAAACCAACCATATGAAATCGGAGGGGAGAGCGCTCCAGGCAGAAAGAACTGGTGTGCAAAGGTCCAAGGTTGGAAAGCACTTGGCCCATTGGAGGAGCAAGGCAGAGGATGATCTACATGGGAACTTAGCAACAAGCCACAGGGAGGGCTGGGTCCCATCACTAGGCTGAGTAGAACAGGCGAGACAACTTTGCAGGGTACTTACGAGTTTCTTGTTAAAAGGAAAAAAAAACAATCTCTTTCACAGAGATTATCTAATGTAATGATTACATCAACCCATGAGGTAGGCAGGACCCATTTTACAGTAGAGGATACAGAGAAACCTGGAAAGGACCCTACCACTCGACTCCCACTTAAATATGGCACTGAATGAAAGTTAACTTCCACACATTGTGTCCATCAGAATTGTTCTAAACAATACACACAAGGGGTGCCTGGGTGGCTCAGTCGGTTAAGCGTCCAACTCTTGATTTCTGCTCAGGTCATGATCTCATGGTTCATGGGATCGAGCCCCGCCTCAGGCTTTGTGCTGAAAGCGGGAGCCTGCTTGGGATTCTCTCTCTCTTTCTCACAAAATAAATACATAAATTTAAAAAACATAAAACACTCGAATATTTAGTTTTACATAAAAAAAGAGCACCAATAACACAATAACATAATAGCTCGCCACAGCGGGTGACAATTATGTATCCCCATTTTGTCATTTATTTCTCTTTGCTCCTAAGTTTGACAAGACTAAGTAAATCGTGAATGGATTTTGACTACGTAACAAGGATTATCATTCCAGCTTCACTTAACAGGTAAGAATAAACTATCCCAAATCTCAGATTGTTGTGGAAAATGAAGATTGCATCACGTGGCAGGTGCAAAGGGACCCTTCTTTCACTTCCTCTAGGTCCGTCCACATCGGTCCCATGTTTCATCCCAGTCTGGCATTATTTTGCCCACTTAAAAAAGTTTATTTATTTTGAGACACACACACACACACACA